ATATATATACACACACACACACACACACACAATACATCCTGATTTATCTAGCGCTTTCACAACAGCTGCAGCTGTAACAAAGCACTTTTATATACAGTATATATACTGTATATATGAGTGTGTGTGCGCGCACAGCAGTTTCTGCTTTTATTCTCTAACCTGTATTATGATATCTCTCTCTCTCTCTCTCTCTCTCTCTCTCTCTCTCTCTCTCTCTCTCTCTCTCTCTCTCTCTCTCTCTCTCTCTCTCTCTCTATATATGTATGTATGTATGAAACGTATGGTGCATCAGACATGGCACCATGCTGCTGCACAGGCTGGATTAAAGGACAGACATGGCGTTGCACTTGTAACAAAAGTCTTAAAAGAGTTATGTGTCTTATTTTATTATACAACATTGTTTTTTTCGGGCTATAAATATATTTTTGCAGGAAATTTTGTCAGATGGATGAAGAAAACTATGGTAAAAGTACTAACTCTGGATCAAGCGACATCCATCCAGTTCATTCGACATGGCACAACGTATTTCTTTATCTACGTGCTCCAATATATGGAATCTTTTTCCATTAAACACCATTTCCGTGTATTTCACATTGAACTTTTTTCTAAAATGTATTGAATTTTCAGTCATGTGTCTGTTTTAGTGTTGAACAAAACGTGGACCTCGCAATAAATTTACTGCATGAACCTCTTACATGCAGGGAAGCAAGTCAGTTTTTTCTATTTATAGTTTTCCTCCTATATATTTAATTTCACATTTCAAGGATGATATCGATATGCTGATTTTGTATCAGTTTTCATCAGTAGTTCCCTGCCATAACTTTATGTTTGTTCTCACTCATTTTAGTGCAGAGGTCATGGGTTCGATTCCAGGCCACGGCCTTCTTGTGTGGGGTTTGCATGTTCTCCCCATGCCTGCGTGGGTTTTCTCCAGGGACCACTTTCCACAAATATTCATGAGAGGTTGATGAAATGCTGTGTGATTGTGTGTGCGAATGCTTGTTTGTCTATGTGTACTCTGCGATTGGCTGGCAACCAGTTCAGGGTGTACTCCGCCTGCTGCCCGAAGTCAAGTGGGATAGGTTCCATCACGGCTGCGACCCTCGTGAGATTAAAGTGGTTCAGATCATGGATGGATGGCTATCGGTCTCATATTCAAGTCAGTGCCTGGATTGTATGTTACAGTTAGTACTTTTTGCCTTCGATTTCTAATGTCTGCTTGTTCTCCTTTTTATTTCCAAACATATAGTTTGCGGCAGCTTGGCAGTGTCCAAAGTGTCCATTAATGGATGGTGCAGATGCGGGGTGTACGAGAGCATCAGAGATGTGAGGGAAATCATTCTCAGGATTCGACAAAATGTTTTGTAAAAAATGATCCAGTTGAACTACTAATAAGAAACTTAACAGCCATCCATAAAGAAAAAAGTGTGTGGAATGGCTGAAGGATTTTGTCAGTAAAAATCGGGATATTTGCCTATCATCTGTGCTATATCGAAGTACAAACAGGAAGAGAAAGCAAAAACAAACATTTGAATCTGAGAAGGATTCCAAGAGCAATGATTAATTTTTTTAATAGGGTCTCTCTGTCCTTCCTAATACAGTATAGGGTAAAGTTTCCTAAATAAATTAACCTAAGAGTTGCCTGCTAGAAATATTGATTACGTCTTGGAGAAAAAAGGGGTCGCTATCCTCGGTGCTAATCTCCCAGGTTGGTGGTGGACGTCCGCAAAATTGAGGACATTTCGTTTCACAAAAAATCTATGCCGTACGAGACATACAATACTACTACTACTACTACTACTACTAATAATAATAATAAAAGGTCTAGTATGAATCGTGTTGCAAGTGAAAAATGTAGGGGAGGTGCAAACAAATCTATGATAATCAAGATGTGGTCGCGATGATTCAATTATTTTTATGATATAATTAATCTGATCATTGAATTGTCATTCATTTTCATTACCTAAATCTGGGTGGATCTGGTATTCTTATGAGTAACCTAAGGACAGCAGCACCAGCCTTTCCTGAATGTGAGCAGCCTCTGAGCTCAGTCGAGGAAGAAACCGGAGACGTCACATACATAGATGCAAGCAGTAGTAGCTGCCTGACCACTAATCACACAACATTAACTACCTACTACGAGCAAAGCCCGCCGCGGTCTTCATGCTTCGACTTTGATTCATCTGAAATCCAAATTTTAATACTCGCATCACATCAAATAGAGATTTATCGACCTTGCAGCACAAGGGATCGTGCTACGGTTCCAAATATTTATTTGCACCCCTCGTCTTGCATCCTACTGGCAACCGATTTCAGCTAGCAAGAACAGTGCCTTGGCTAGCGTCAGGCTAGCCAGCTAGCTAGCTACTCGCATCGCTAACGGTGGTTAGCTAGCAGGCTAGCGAGCTGTTGTAACTTGCGTCATGGATGAATTACTAGTGGAAGTGAGGGGAACAAGTGGCGCCTTTTATAAGGTAGGTTGTTTTTTGTTCTCTCTCTGTGCAAATCAACATGCGACGCTTACACGTCAAGTATACAAGCCAAGTAAGCTTGGAAGCAATTCCCCAGCCGTACTAGCATTGATTGAGGTACCTGTTTCGGCCTCCGTGCACTTCTCCACCCTCCGCCGGCTTGGACGGAGAAGCAGAAAGGCTGAAAACAAAGCGAAGAGCGTGGTGATTCGAGATCTGTGCTGACAACATATGTGTGGTGGATCATACCTTGGCAGTACTGAAGCACTACCAGTCGAAACAGTGGCGTTGCTGAAATGAACTTAATGTATGGTGATATCGGTGAAGCAGTAGTCGTTGATCGGCCGTTCATTGCTAACGTTCTAATATGAGTTATGTTAATTGGCATACGTCTTTTATTGACATCAATTAGAGTTCATCGGTGTTTGGTTTAAAGTGGTACCTGTTAATATGGTCACAGCTGTTGAGTGGTAATATGACCATCCTGGCACGTTGCGAACGTAACGCGAGTGTTCGATATTAATTAATTCAAAAGTACGCAAGTTTAAATGTGGTGTCCTGAAAGGGGTTTTAAATTTTGTCTTTTCAGTGGTCATTTATGATATACCTTATCGGTTACTTTTATTTAAAACAATTGTACGTACGTCACCCTCAGAGTCGAGTTTTTCATGTTTCAAATCAACTGTGTGGTGTTTGTACACTCGTCGACAAAATTATTGGTCTACCTTTTTTAATGAATGAAAAACCCACAGTGGCCACATAAAAAACAAGAATCTGACAAAAGTAATAATAATAATTAAAAAAACGATCTGAAAATGAACCAATGAAAATCATACCTTGCTCAATTTGAATTTTGGTTCAACATAATATCTTTATATATTGATTGATTTCAACACTCTTGTAACAGATGGTACACTTAGTCTTTAGGTGCGGAGCCTATTGAGGCAAGTGCTGCGATCAAACAAGTTTTGTAACTTTCAATGAGGTTTCTGCACCTCTCAGCAGGTATTTTGGTCCATTCTTCATGAGCAAACTGCTCCACTTGTCTCAGGTTTGAAGGGTGCTTCCACACAGATGTTCAAAAGGATTTAGATCAGGGCTCATAGAAGGCCACGTTAGAATAGTCCCAGATAATGACAAAGCCTCCTCCATGTTTCACAGTAGGGACGGTCAGCTCTTCTTGATATGCTTCATTTTTGTATCTGTTAACGTTGAGCTCATGTCCCTTGCCTAAAAAGTTTGTTTTGTCTAGTTTGTTTATAGGACATTTTTTGTGTAGCTTTGTCAACATGCAGTTTGCCAAATTGGAGTCTCTCATTTTTATGATTTATTTTAAACAGGGGTGTCCTCTTTGGTAATCTCCCATGCAACAGATGGTGTGATTTGACACTATACCTTGACAATGGGGTTCACCTTTAAATTAATTCTGTGTGTGTGTGTGTGTTATTAATATTATGTTTTTGTGTTTGTGTACACTGTACCCTCAGCATACTATCAGTTTCATTTTTACAAAAAAGTATTTATAAAATAAAAAGGCAGGTCACCTTTAACCTACGTTAGCGCATGACCTGCATCACCGGAAGTTGTTAGCAGTCTGAAATTGCAGCTTGTGGTCAGAGCTTTTTTTTTTCATCGTTCAAAGTTTTTTACATTTCCAATTCACGAAGGCACTAGCGAAGAATGGGAGCATAAAGGTCCAGGAGAAGCATTTTAAAACGGTACATATGAACTACAATAGTGATGTTCCTACTGCAATTAACACGCTGCAAACACGTGCAACTGCATGCGTCCCATATTAGGTCTCTACTAAATTAGGCAGTGATTCATTTTTTACGAAGTCACAAACTCCTATGTCCACTTTATTTTTTTGATTTCGTTCATATTAGGGTCCGTTGTGGCTATTGCTCATCATGGCATGCATGGGTGTGCGTGTATGCGTGCACATGCGATAACGGGTGAATTGTGAGAGTTTGTTTACTTGAAAACGAGATCTTGGGTCAAAAAAGTTTGGAACCCCTGGTATAGAGAAAACATTACAGTCGGGGTTCTTTTGAAGCACGTATGATGCTAATTAGTTGACACACCTTCGTTCAACTTATCATTGTGGTCAAATTATTTTCAATCGTTTCTCAGGGCACCATCATTTTTGTCTAATCCTATTTCATGTTTGTTTTTTAAATATAATTTTGTAGATTTTCATTGGTTAATTTTCATGATCTTTTTTTTTTAAATTTATGATTACTTAGGTCAAATACACATTATTTCAGTGGCCACTGTGGTTTTTTCTTTCAGAACAACATTTTTGTACACTTTGTGTACTAGACATTGGCCAATTAACAGCCTAGGTCAAGGTACTAATTGTAGTTTATCTCTAATCATAGGGAATTTTTTGGATCTCCTTGCATCTGTTACTCAGTTTGTCAGACTTGTGCAACCCAGAGAGAAGCCACTTTGTCTGGTATCCTCCAGGGCATGACATGTCCTACTTTGAACATTTGATATGTCCAAATCCAGAGTGTTTAGAATTTGAGAGTGAGCCATACAGTCTAAACAGATTTTATCAGTTTGGGTGCACAAAAAACCGTTAAGTTTGCCACCAGAATTATAACTTTCTGTGTTTCCTGTAATATCTTTTGCTTCTTTTAGGCATTTGTGAAGGATGTCCATGAAGGCTCCATCACAGTTGCATTTGAAAACAAGTGAGTCAAGTGACAGTATTGGCAAACTATAGTACATTATAAAATAGAACAATATATGGTATGCAGTTGGGATTAATGCAGCCAATGATCAAATAAATGTGTTCTTCCATACTAGTTGGCAGCCAGAGCGCCAGATCCCATTCCAGGATGTGCGATTTCCTCCTCCAGCAGGGTTCTGTAAAGAGATAAATGAGAGTGATGAGGTTGAGGTAGGATTCTTTGTGATTTAATGTTTGCCAAACATCTAAATGGAATAAAAAAAACGGAGATAATGATTCAATTTTTCAGTTTAACCAATTGCACATGATTATTTATTTTTTTTATTTATTTGTTTACGAATGAATGTATGTTTTGTTTAGGTCTGTGATGGGTCTTGTTTACTGTGTGGGTTTTGGCAGGTGTATTCGAGAGCGAATGACAAGGAGCCATGTGGATGGTGGCTGGCTAAGGTTCGCATGGTCAAAGGAGAGGTAGGGCTCAGTCCAAACAATTTCACTTTTGTGTCTGTATTTCGGCTTCGCTTTCCGTTTACAATATGCCATTGGCACTGTCTAGTGGGCGGGACTTGCACTGTTTAGTGGGCGGGACTTGCATGTCCCTTTTTTATTAACGGTAGCGAGACCAGGAGAAGTACACTGAGCAATTCTATTGATTTACAATGTGCATTTGACCGGCATTTCACCTTTTATTTCAGTTAGGAAGTTTTTTAATGGATTCTAAATCATCTGCGTTATCTGTGCTATTTACAACTTCAAAAGAGAACGAACCAGAGCATGGCTAAGTGGTTTGTGCTACATGATTTTTGGGGGTGGTTGTTTAGGTACAAAAAGAAAAAAACCTTAACCTCGAGCCATCTATTTTACTGACCTGCACAGCAATAACCTGACATAAATAAATAAATATTCAATTTAATAGGAAGATTGCTGCACCATGATAATGCACCAAAAATAAATAAATGCATAAATAGCATAAATAGCATTTTAAAGGACATTTTCTCAAGGTTTATGGGGTTATTACAAGAAGTACAAAAATGTAATTTTTGGTTTGCAAAATGTATACAGTTTACCTCAGGTAGGTGACCCCACAAGGAGTGTTTATACAGTATGTCCCTCCGATCTTGGTGAAATACTGTCTGGAATATCAAGGAACTGCTTTCCTCATCTGGGTTGCGGGTAGCTTAAGTCTGTACCAGCTGTCATCCTTCTCTTTATCGTGGTTCACATTTTGTGGCTTCACAATACAGTATTGCCGATTTGTTCTATCTGATTTATATTGTGGATTATTTGCGAAATCTTTAGTGTTTTGATGTTGTTATTTTTCTACATGGCCTGTTAGTGCACAGCAGTACTGCACGAACCGGGAGGAAATTGTGTGTAAAAGAAGGTCCAAAGTTTCGGATCATTTCACGTAGTAAAAGAAGCAGGGCTGCCACTAACGGTAGTTTTAGATTAATCTGTTCGTTCATCGATGATTCTGATTTAAAAAGTAGTTTATTAAATTTTTATTCCTTTATTCCAAATCAGGACATTATTTCAAATTGATAGTTGATGTTGCCGACTGTAAACTGCAGAACCAGTGGTCTCCATGGAAAATTTAGGGGCAATAAAGTTTATGATATGAAATAATCTATTTCTGTTGAGAAGCTGAGATTCCAATCATTTGGACAATTTTAAATTTAAAAAAGGGATTGAAATGGTTCATCAATTATCAAAGATAATTTTTGATTCATTTGACAATCAATGAGTTGTCGATTAATCAATAAGTAGAAGTTAAAGTGCACTGCACAATTACCGGTAAATTATACAACTGCACTAGATTCAATATGTATCGTGGCATATTTTGAAATGGAATGATTTCATTCAATGCACTTGCATCTTTAAAATCAAAAAACGATTTTCCGATTCAGTCATTGTTCACTCAGTTTGAGGAGATTACTGACTAAAGGCTGCAACATAAATTATTGGGCGGCTGAAGGTTGATTCAAATCAGACCTTTAAGATTACCTTTAAAGCGCTGATCAATGTCCGAGCAATTGTCGAATTATGTTGTGAAGGCGCTATATAAATCAGCATGTATTGTATTGTATTGTAATGAACTCCCATTTGCTGATCAATGGCTGTGAAACTTACAGCCACTGGAGATGAACCAAATCTGTTAGTTACTCATTTAAAAGAATAACTGTTTGAAAACATTTCATGATACTTGATACATACTGGATGATACACACTATGATACTTTATGATGCCTGCAATGTGAGCATTCACGTTTATTGGTTCATGTAAGCATTTTACATTTGTCAGCTGCATTCAAATGTTATTCAAATATATCCTTTTGATGGCTGTTTAATAGCTATAGTCCTTCTCTTCATTGGTCCTTGTTGATATATTTTTTGTTGTTTTGTGTGTGTAGTTTTACGTTATAGAGTATGCCGCATGTGATGCGACATTAAACGAAATTGTGACGCTGGAGCGGTTACGGCCGATCAATCCCAACAAACCAGCCACCAAAACTACCTTCCTCAAGATCAGACTGGATGTTCCTGATGATCTACGGCAAATGTAAGACTGCTGTATACAATGCCTTGAAGAAGTATTTGTGCCCTGACTAGAATGCATTATGCACATTTTGCACGCTTCAGTGTTTCTGATTGGCTCACCAAGAAAAAAAATTATTAAAATACACATTGTAAATGTGGATTTTATTCATTTGGGGTGGGGGGGGGCAGACAGATTTCTTGAATCATGAAAATACTTAAATAGTACCTGTCAATCCAAGTTGGTTTCAGAAGCATTGTGCCCTGTGTGGCGGACCTTAGCACTGAAACAATGAAACGCGTCAAGCCAAATGCATGCAAATACTGATGTCCGTATGTTGTGGATATCTACGACCATAGCAAGGTCATGAGATTGTTTTGCTTGTTATGTTTCGACGTGGTGTACCTTGAGAAAAGCTGATTTTTGACCACTTCACAATGTCTTATTTCATGAAAAATTTCATGACAATTTAAATTGATGAAAGAGAGACAAAACCTACTGTACCGATTATTGACACTGATCTCGAAATGCACTTCTGACTCCTTTTGCCCGGTCACATTTGACACAAAGAACATCATGCCATCTATCGAACATGGTGATGGCAGTGTCATAATCTCGGGCTGGACAACATGATTCATGGAATGAAACTGTGACGAATGTAAAAATGAAGTCTACTGCATTCCAAAGATTCCTGCAGTTCAACGTGTCACTGTCAGTTTGTGTCCTCAATTTGTTGGCTTATGCAGCAGGAGAACAACCAGAAACACACGAACATGTGCACCTGGGGCTAAAAAAAAAAAAAACTTAAGTTTTCACATAGGGCCATTTATTTAGAAGCTGCAACTACAAGAAAGAAACTGAAATCAGGAAGGAGGCAAATGCTTTTTAAGGGCATTGTATATTGTACAATACTGCAGTTCATTGTTGCTTAGAGAACATATTTGAAATCGAATTCAGTCACTCACCCCATTACACACATTGTCACAAGGAGTTTTATTGAATGTCTTTAATTTCGAAAATTACTGCCAGTGGAGAGGATTGATTAACAATGATTGTGCCCGAAACAATGTAATAAAGATGGCACACGCGCATTTTCAAAGAGTGTGAGTTTAATAATGACATGAATGTTGACTCCATGTTATCAGGTGCTCCAAGGAATCGGCACACAAAGATTTCAAAAAGGCTGTGGGAGCGTTCAGTGTCACCTACGACTCTGAGAAGAAGCAGCTGGTCATCCTGGTTCGTGATGCTTTTATAAAATGTTTAAATTTTATGTATATATATATACACACACACACACACACACACACACACACATATATTTGTGTGTGAGAGCAGCCAGGATATACTCCAATGGTGGAAGCTTTGAATTGTATTTCACTTTATAAAACATTCAACTTATATCTGCATCTACTCGTATTCCAAGCTTTGATTTGTTCTAACAGTCAGTGAATGAGGTCACAGCGAAGCGGGCCAACATGATGAGCGACATGCACTTCAGGAGCCTCCGCACCAAACTCTCTCTCATGCTGAGGAATGAAGAGGCCAGCAGACAACTGGAGGTACAGATGCGCACACACACACTCACACACTAAAACAGGGTCTGAAGCTTTCATGTTCGAACATTAATTGCATCCTTCTTGTCCATCAAAACTACAAGTCAGACCTATTTCCTTATTGTTGCTTGCAGAGTTCCCGACAGCTGGCATCACGGTTCCATGAACAATTTGCAGTACGTGATGATTTAATGGGGCTCGCCATCGGGACTCACGGGGCCAACATTCAGCAGGCCCGGAAAGTCCCTGGAGTCACTAATATAGACCTGGATGAAGAGACATGCACCTTCCATATTTATGGAGAGGTATGACAGTCTAAACTGTTCCTGTTGACCTAGTGATAGATGGTTACATATACCCTTTTAATTAGCTATTACATTACATTTAATACATCTCAGGTCTTTTAATATGACATACAGTAAACCGAACAATCGCAGACAGGCTTTACAATGGACCCTTAAGATCAGGGGTGCCCAACATTTTTTCACCGAAGATCTGCTTTTCAAGCAGCCAACCTCCCGCGATTGACCTGTTACCGCATGTGCACCCATACACGAATGCCCGTGCGCACGCATACACACACGCACACCCGATGATGAGCAAAAGCCATCAAGGACCCTAACATGAACAAGAAAGAAAGATAAACTAGATACAAGACATGAGTTTGTGAAGAGGAAATCATTGCGTACCTGAGTGGGAGACCTGACACAGGCAGGCAGGGATACACTTTTGTAGCATGTGAAGTGCAGAAACATCACTATCGTTCCTTGGGTTTGAGGGCCTCGATATATTTGTTGTTTCAAAATAGTTTAGTCACACAGTACATTAATACACTTCAGAAAACACTTCCCAACAAATGTTTGTTTTGGTGTTTATCTAAGGACCAGGAAGCTGTCCGTATTGCGCGCAGTTTCCTGGAGTTCTCTGAAGATGTCATCAAAGTTCCCCGGAATTTAGTAGGTGAGAAATTCACTCCACCAATAGGATAAGCTCTGTGGTGACACGGCAGAGGGGTGGTGTACCACCAGATTTTTTTGTTTTTTTTAAAAGCAGTTTGGGAATTCAAAATGTGACTCACAGTTAATCATGGGCCAGGATCAAGTGCAGAACTCTAAAAGTCTGCGACCTAGCAAGTCGTATGACATGATCAGGAAGTATCTTGAGACTTCAAATAACTTAAATTGGTGGTGTACCAATTTTTTATAGTGAGTGAACCTTCGCTATTCGCATATTTTAGGGACCAAACTCTGGCACAAACAGCGAAAATCCAATAAAAAGGGTTATAATTGCCTAGAGATGCCACAGGATGGTTGTAAATCTCGAGCTATGTCTTAATAAAAGCTTTCGGCTCACTTAAACATGCAGTGGACCCTGCATACTCACAATTCAGCACCGGCAGATTTGCATATGTGCAGATTCTACTATATGGCTGTCAATTATTTAAAAAAAAAAAAGTAAATGAGTTTTTTCAGCAAATAACAGAATAGGTTGCAAAAGAATTCGCCGATAGGTGAATTTGAAAATGCCAAATTGCAAATATTTGGGGGTGTGACTGTTTAACTTGACTGTTGACTTAAAAAAAAAATGAAGAAAAATGTGAAAACGTTTAACTTACTGAAGATGTGTAGTCTGGTACAGTAGTTTCCATAATCATGGATGACTGCTGACTTGACTGTTGTCCAGAAGACAGCCATTGTCACCCTACACTAGTAAGGCAAACCACAAAACATTTGTGCCTAAGAAGCTGACTGTTCTTAGACTTATGCATCCACGCATTACAGTAATAGTAACTTGAGTGGAAGAAAAAAATGTGGTTTTAAAAAACATGCTCAACCAACTGCAGGCTGAAACTACTCTGCATAGATGTCTGAAGGAAAGTGGCACACTTCTAATGTCGTGCCATTCCTGGACCAGAGACAATATCAGAAGCATCTTTCTACTTATGCGAATGAGAAAAAGAACTGGACAATTGCTCAGCAATCCAAAGCAAAATGTGGACAATATTGAAATGGATTAGATTACCAAGAATGTTCTTATTTACTGAGATGTATGCAGTATGTCTATTGTGATTATGACTCACCTTTTTCTCTTTAGGCAAAGTGATTGGGAAGAGTGGTAAACTGATCCAAGAAGTGGTTGATAAATCTGGTGTGGTGCGGGTCCGTATTGAACCAGAAAATGACAAAAAGCCTTCGGTGGCATCGTCATCAGTGGCGGGAGCAGCATCAGCATCAACAACGGATGATGTGAGTCAGAAAGAAACTTGATGTCCAATTAGTTCAATGTTTTAAGACACGGTGATGAAGTTATCGTATACATTAAATTTAGGGCGTTGTGATTAAGAAAACTTCAGGGTATATACTTGATATAACCCACAAATCATTTCAGACATACAACTTTTTGTTTTTTAAACCGTTTACCTTTGCATGTGCAAAAAAGGCCGAAGCATGCTGTTGCACATACGGATAACGACTGAAAATCACCTTTTGCTTACTACTGATGTAAAAACAAACAAAAGGCTTTATTTGTTCCCTTTTTTTCTTGAATGTTCGCCGTGTAACTACACGGGGGTTGCTTCAAGCGGAGAAGAGAAGGGGATCATCCGGCAGATGAAAAGAAAAGTTTAAACATCGCTAGTCAATCTGGTGACCGGCCGTTGTGATAACTTTGGCTACTGCTAAATGCCATCTTTCGTGACAGTTCAACAGTTGCAAACAACTCAATGCACTCACCATGATCCAACCTTTGGAAGCTCGCTGTGTCTTTTACCTTGCGCCGGTCCTGTCCCACATTGCAAGTTGTAATATTGGCAACACGCCGGCAAAAAAAATCAGTTTAGATCTCTGTTTAGATCTATGGCAACTGCATCATTCGTCTAGTAGGATTACATTTCCTATGATTCTTGGACACAAAGCAAGAAGTATTCCTAATTCTGGTGTGATAAAATCCTAGACATCTGCTAGCAATTGGATGCGACTAAGAACGTGCACATAAAAGGAAGGAATTTGAATTAAAGTCCACCTCAAAAGCCGACATTGATTCATACATACTGTAGGGCGCATTGCATTAGAAGGCACAATGTTGCATTTTAAGTGCGTCTGACATACATGGTATATACAGTCGTTTACTAATGCTGTGTATTAGGCGGAAATGAATTGGCACACGTTACCCCGCATTGCTTTCTTCCACGGAATGGGGAACTAGGCATCGCTTCTCATTCCTTTTGATATTTTGAGCATTCAAGAGCGTTTATAGATTTTATTTCAAGTATTATCACCACTTGAAATTGGGTAATATTGCGGAAAAACTAACAACCTAAATGAGGACAGACACATACTGGGCAAATGCACTTGTCTTCTCCCTCCGTCATCAGTGGACTCATGCCAGTTTGCACCTAAATGTGGGCGTTCCAAAATCAGCCAAAAAAAACATCAGAAAACCTGCCTAAAATTACTAGTGAGTCTGTTTTCATTGTTTTTTTGTTTTTTTTCTGCAAACATAAGTGTTGAGTCCAGAACTATAAACTGCCAATGTTCCGGCCATTAGAGATGACCCTTTTCCACTGTAGCCCACATTAATGCAAAGAGTCCTAATGTTGTGTACAGTTTTGCCAAAATTTCAATTTTGCCCATCTTTGCCATAGGGAATGGTGCCCTTTGTATTTGTTGGGACTAAGGAAAGCATCTCGAATGCAACGGTACTGCTGGACTATCACCTCAACTACCTTAAGGTACACAAGAAAAAAGTGTTTGCGTGATACCATACACCAATCTTATGAGATGACACCCTGGCAATGATCATGTTGTTCTGGAAATATAACGACATGTTATTCAATGTTGCATCTTAATAGTATTTCTCTTCATAAATACAGGAGGTGGACCAACTTCGTCTGGAGCGTCTTCAGATTGATGAGCAGCTGAGACAGATAGGAGGCGGTGGCGGTGTTGGAGGGACGGGCCCACGAAATCTGAAAGACAAAAGCTATGTGTTTGATAATGGAACGGGCCTTGGCAGAGGTACAGGAGGAGGGAAACCCTATGGAGGAGGAGTACGAGGTGGTCGAGGGCGAAGAGGAGGTGGTGCTGCTTTTGCCTCAGGTGCTGTTCCATTGCCACTTGAGTCTTGTACTTTTACATGGTTCACTGACATTGTACTTGATTAGAAACTTTTAGAGTGTCATCACAGGAAAGCAAATTAATGTAGCATCAGTTTAAATGGACTTGCACGTTGCCCACTAGGCACCAACTCGGAGGCATCCAACGCTTCAGAGACAGAGTCAGACCACAGAGATGAGCTCAGCGATTGGTCCCTGGCTCCCACAGAAGAGCTAATGACAGGAGGTGGGACATTGCCAAGACGAACTGACGGGAGGAGGAGACCTGCCGGGGCAGGACTTCGAGGGCGAGGTGGAAGAGGAAGAGGAGCATTTAAAGGTAAGTAGCTTATTATCTTTATTATGGCTTTAGCAATTTAACTTATTATTCATCAGCCCTCTGAGATTTAATGAGAATTGATCTGACATGCGGCTGTTGTGATTTTGGCACAGCTGTGCCACAGATTATTGATCTTGGACATTAATTATGAAATAATGTAATATACGAGTACCTTCTGCAAAGTGTTCACATACCCAAAAAATGGTAATAAATAATAAATGTTGTCTTGGACTCTCCCATTCAGGTGACGATGTACAGTGGAGTGACCCAAGGCCTCGTCATATCAGAGAGCCCAAGATGAGAGCACAGGAAGACACCTTGCAGGTAATGTCCCGATTACATATGGAGTGTATGCTGACTGCACCATAATTTAATCAGACAACTGACAACCAGTTCAGGTTGTACCCTGTCTCCTCCCTGAAAACAGTTGTGAGAGGCTCCAGCACAACCCGCGACCCCTGTGAGGAGAAGTGGTTTGGATAAAAGGATGATGAATGTCTTTTTGAAGACTTGATATAACATATAGCATGGTGGATAGTTGGTATACTGAAGACTCTTAAGTTGCTTGTAGATGTGAGTGGTTGTCTGTCTTTGTGTAAGACCTGTGATTGACTGGTTAACAGTTCCGGGTGTACCGCACCTCTTGTCCTAAGTCTGCAGGGATCGCCTAACAGGATAGTTACTTGAAATTGATTAAATAGATGATGCTGTGAAATATGCAGATTTTTTTTTCATTGACTTCTTAGCATGTCCGGGTTAGTTACTGGTACTAGTTACTGTGCTGGTGCAGTATGGGTCATAAATTAATCCATTAGACCCATTCTGCTACTTATTGGAATAAGCATTGTTCGCTCTTTGTGGAGCCAATGTAAAACTCCATATGAATGACAAGCAATATAGTTACCTATGTGCTGGTAATTTAAGAGATGTGGTAGGGTGAATTAATTCATCCAGCCTTCATTGGTCAGTATTTCACAGGCATATTTGAAGAGATGTGACCTTACTTGTGATTGCAATACTGAGGCTGGATTTTCAAGATGAAGAGCCCAATATATATATATTTTTTTTTAATGCCGTTACAAGAAAGTCAGATACACAGTGTCACTGGGCAATATTTAAAAAAATTGTTCTACCTACTATTGTGAGCTCAGACGATATAAACATTTTCTGGCTCGGTGTGTGAACTGCTTTCTCTTAAGTGCCACTCAGGAGTGCTGAGTGGTACTTAGCACGGTGCCACATTGTGATAATGTCATTTGGTATTAGTTCACTTTTAAATACAAAACCACTGCCACTGACGATGGGACATTGTGTTAAACATCAAAGCAGAATAACATGATTTGCAAATCATGTTCAACCTATATTTAATTGAACACACGACAGACAACATATTTCATGTTCAATCTGACAAATTTTGTTTTTAGCAAATGTGAAACTTCAGTTTCATGGCTGCAAAACGTACCATACAAGCTTCATGTTTACCACTGTGTTCGATCACCTTTTCTTTTGACAACATTCAATAAATGTTTGGGAACGGAGCACACCAATTGTTGAAGCTTTGTAGGTCAAATTCTTTCCCATTCTTGCTTGATGTACCGCTTCAGCTGTTCAACAATCAGGGGTCTCCGTTGTCATAATTTATGCTTCTTAATGCATCACACATTTTCAAAGGGAGACAGGTCTGGACTGCAGGCAGGCCAGTCTACACGCTATTGTAACATGCAGTATGTGGTTTGGCATTGTCTTGCTAAATTAACCAGGGGCATCCGTGAAAAAGTCTTTGCTAACATGAATGGTGTAACTTACCAATGCCATTTCCACTAACACAGTCCCATACCCGCACAGATGCTGGCTATTGAAATTTGCGTCCATTACAGTCTAGATCAGGGGTGTCAAACATACGGCCCGCGGGCCGGAACCGGCCCGCAAGGAGGTTCAATTAGGCCCGCAGGATAATTTAAAAGTGAAAAAAATGCATTAAAGACAGAATTAATATTTTTAATAAGGTGCAATTCATTGAGTATCCGCAAGGGGACACTGTTTTGATCAGAGAAGAAGACAACAGCAGCCTCAGTCCGTCACTGTGACAGACCCATGACAGCAGACGCTATCAATAGCACTCTCACATTTACACATTTAATAGCACTCTCCTTAGTTTGTAAGATTACATTTAGATTTTATATGCACGTGTAAATGGTTTAAAACTTCCTTTCTTTATGAATCTCGTTTAATCTTAAAGTGCATTACTATATTTTTCAATACCAATTACTTGTTAATGTTTGTACAATCAGTGGGATCATTTGCAATGCATTTATGTGAATGATAAAAGTAAATTGCACATTTGTCGAAGGAAATGTAAGGTGCTTCATGAAATATTTTGTAAAAGATATGTTCATTAAATTTCAACATTTTCCTAATGTTCTTGTGCTTCTTTATACCAAAACAAAGGAAAGACATTGTTTTGGTTATTTATAGCAAAGTATGGTATCATTTTAATGGTCCGGCCCACTTGACATCTACCGAGGCCGTATGTGGCCCACCATGTGAAATGAGTTTGACACCCCTGGTCTAGATGTTTCTTTTCCTCGATGGCCAGAGGAAAATGTCATTCAAATTTCCCAAAACAATTCGTCAGATCACAGAACACTTTTCCACTTTGCATCAGTCCATCTTAGATGAGCTCGGACACAGAGAAACCGGCGGCATTTTGGGGTGTTACTGATAAATGGCTTTGATTTGCATCGTTTTAAGTTGCACTTACGGATGTCACGCCGAACAGTATTCACTGACATTGGTTCTCTGAAGTGTTCCTGAGCCCATGTGGTGATATCCTTAATACAGCTCATCTCTCACTTCTTTGCTATCAACGAAATCATTCATCATTTGTTAGGGCCACTGGCCATACCAAATAGGATGGCCAGATAGGACGTTCCTCATGTCACGAATTTGTGTTTATTATTATGTTTAGAAAATACCACAATTTTCATGCAGGTCATATCAGATTGTTTTGTTGTATTTATCCACCACACCTCAAAGGTCGGTCCCTGAAAATATTGTCTGATATTAAACCGGCCCGTGGTGCAAAAAATGTTGGAGACCGCTGGTTTAAAGGACACAAATGTGTTTGTTTCTGTTTCGTGTCAGAAAAGTGTTGTGATCCTTGACAGAGATCTTTTTTTGATTGATTGGTAGGCAATTTGTTCTTCAAAATAAAATACCAAGCATAACATTTACTATAAAGGAAGTCTGACGCTAAACTTGCTTCTGTCATCCCACAGATTCGTGTGGATGGGAACAACGAACGTAGTGTGCAGCATTCCTCTGGAGGGAGAGGCGGAGGAGGGCCTTCATCACAGGGTGGCCACAGTGCCGGTGGCGAAGGTCCACTACGCCATCAGCAGCGGCCCATGAGAGACCGAGGAATGAAGAAGGAGAAACAGGACGCTCCCCCTCTGGTGAACGGAGTGTCATAGATGCATCACTGGAGGACCTTCTCACTTACAGAAATGAACCCACACTCTTCACACACATACACAAACAACCGCTCATTAATCAACCACAGTTGTTTGTTTCGCTGTCTTTCTTTTTCCGTTTTTGTCAATTGCCAGATTAGACACGAGCAGCCTCCGTCACAACGGAAGGCAGTAGTGAGTAAATGTAGTGACGACTGCTCCCTGTTGTGCTACATCTGTGTACTGCTCGGTGTAGTGCAGCGAGCTGGTCTGAGACTGAATGGACGTATTCCTCCTACAGTGAGAAAGCAATGAAGTTTCTTGATGTAAAAGCATCCTCTTTTTCCAGCAACCATCTTACTTCAATGTCAAAATGCATCGAAAGTTCAATTACATGCATCACTTTTCTCCATTACCTGATGAAGCGGCATGGATGCCTTCACTTTCTTTGTGCCGTGAAGTTTCGAACTAGACTTTAGACTTAGCTCGTCATGCGTTCTGTGACTGCTCCTTTGACCATTTGGTTCAGGCATAATGAGGGCAACCCATAGTCCATAACCCTCGAACTTGCAAGTTGATATAAAGCATGTGTGCAAAGTCACAGGCTTGGGCTAGGTGTCACGTGTGGGCAACACCTTACGTGATGCATCAATCCAATCTAGTCTGTTTCTTCATACACATAACGATAAATGAGCCATGCTCACACGAACAGAATGTCCACCTTATTCAATTTGACATGCCTGCAGCCAAGGTGTGACAGCATTTGTCTGTGGCTCAGTGCTTTTTGGACAAATACACAAGTGACGTGAGAGTTGTAGAACTGATCTTGGACAAAACACACACACACACACCTCTCCAAGCTGCTCATTGACAACTCATTTGGGAAATGTCTTTGCTCCCCTAACTGGGGATACTTGAACATCCCAGTTAGCTTGGTAAGAATGAAGCCTCACCAACGCATTGTTCCCTGCTCACGGCGAGAAGACAAATCATCACTGTTGAGTTAACTAATGTCAGAGTAGATCAAACCGTCATTGAGTTCCAGAAGGAGAGATCCTTGACAGTTTAATCTATAGCAAGTTCAACAAAAACGATACGTTTGCAGTCATGAACCAATGCTTAACAGCTTTTCGGGACCATGGTTCTTCCAGTAAGTTCTAAAGGCAGAATGTGGTTGCTGTAATGTAGCGCTGCTTCTTTGGCTTGTTGACTGATGACATTCCTCTGTCAGTCATTCTGTTCCTGCGATATCATTTATGTATCACTTCTTCTGGCATCGTACAGCCTACAGTTTTTCTTCTTGGTGTGTTTTGATGAGTCAAGCTGAGCTCCACGGTCTGCATTAAAAAGAAAATCCTAACCTAATTGGTTTAAGATAGAGTGTCAAGCTCATTTGGATAATGTTGAGTAAAATCTGCAGACCCTCTGAGGCGTTTTAAACATTGTTTCCATCTCTCTCAGCCCTTTTTAGGAGCCCCAGACCAATTTGTAATTTCCCCCCAACTGTTTAGACCCACGCATAACCCTTTTTTAAGAGCCCCAGACTGATTTGTATTCGCGCCCCCCCCAACGTTTTAGGCCCATGCGTCACACTTTTCTGTGCCACGCTCTGGATATCTCCAAGTCTTGTGCTCACAACTTGTTTTCTGAGGCCAGTATTCCTTTCCATTGTGCTTGCTTTTACACAAGTATGAATTAAATGTGATTCTTTTTCACTAATCTTTAGCTTCCATACAGCAGTCGGGCTGGATTTTTAAACTTAGCTTGTTCTGCAATACATAAACAATGTGGTTTGAGTACAAATGACCATTTTACTTTCCATAAATCAGCAACTGAATTACGTTGTTTTGTGTTGTCAAAAAGGAGATAGGGTGGCATACTGTATATAATGATGTCATAATTTGTACTGTTTCAAATGTGCACTTATCCTTATTTTCTTTCTTTTGTTGCTGTTTGATATCAGTTAAATGCTAGATCTCTTGTTAATAAACTTGCTGTAAAAATGTTTTGCTCCCTCCCACGGTTGAGTCGCATTGATAGTGAATGTTCAGAGCACTGCTGCAGAGGTCCAAAACGAGTGTGATAACACAGGAAGAGTTTCACACGAAACGATGAGTATATAAATGTTCTGTCGCGTCAAGTGTCTCAAGGAAGAAAACTTTTACTGCAGTCCATTTACCACTTTTGTTATACTGTGACCTAAAATTAGACTGACTTTCAATTCTGTGTTTTAGGTGTAGGTTTTTCTTTTAGTTTTCAGCGAGAGTTGGAGAAAATGCATCAAACCTGCTTTCATTTTGGGGTTTATTTTCATTTGCCTTTGACAAGCTCAAAGTATTTTTTTTGTTTTTGTTTACTGAATTTAAGCTTCTCTACATAGTGGCAATCTGTACTCAAATCATTTCATTCTTAAATGTCTGATGCACAAAGTCATTCTTGACTTATCATTTGAGATGAATAATGCAGAAATTGCGAATAATCTTGCACCTTCATTAAAAATAAAATATAAAAAAAAAAACATTCATGAGCCAGAATCAAATATTTGTAAAAATGTACTGCTTCACTTTCTTTTCTGGTTGTTTCAACATAGAAAGCGCATGTATCTAACCTCTCATTGTCCATTTCATCATTTATCAAGCAGGAGAATGATATGCTTCAAAACATTTTCATTATTTACATTTACAGACCCAAGTGTAGTAAGAGAACGATTAGGCTGAGATAGTATGTTTCAAATTGGTTTCCAGTTCCAGCCTAAAAAAACTAAAACATATATACTGTATACACACACTTTTTAAAAGTTGGAGGTCAACTTTTCAACAGCAAGAAGTTAACTTGTCTGCATTGTTGTGTTTGTAGGGGTTAATACTAACAAATAGTGTTGCAAAAATGAAAGTTTGTACTGTGAAAGAAAATGTACATTGAAGAGATGGGGAAACTGTTTGCATGCTTCCCATGTCTAGTCGGTAAAGAACTGTACTGATGAAAGTGTCACCATCCTAACTCGTTCTGACAAGGTTTGAACCACTGTATCAGTTAAGTGCCACAACAAACAAAAAAAGAAAACCAAACTCTTTGGCTGAGTCGATGTGCTCATGGTCCAACTGAGGGAATTCCAATACAAACCCTAAAAGGGATACTAACAATGACCACTAAATTGTATAAAGGGTTGGATTTTGTGAAAGGCAAGGCGATTATCTTTTTTTTTTTTTATGTGTTGATGGTTTGAGTAGACCCTGTAAAATTAGCCTCGCTGTACCTAAAACGTGACGGTGAAATGCTTCCAAATCAGTATAACCAATCGGATTCGACCTCTTGCAAACTTAATTTGATGTATATTGTCCTTTTCAGAATGGATGTTGTATGTAAATTCTTCCTTTTATGCCTAATGCCAACGATAGTGACGGCTTGGATCAGAGCTTCTAATAAAACTATGATCAATATGTTCGCTGGACTATTGAAAACTCGACGCGACTTTTATCATGGCGGGAATTTGGGTATTTTTACATAAATGTTTCAGTTAAATTGATGGTGAAAATGGGATTGAACATGGACCTTTAAAACTTTTTAAAATATCGTTTGTATAAATTAGAGGGTGTCTACCAACTACCAGACGGGGGAGTGTCATTTTACATCTGCCAGGCGAGCTTACAAAATGAATGTTAAATATGACTTCAAACTTAACTTAAAAACCGCTCTGATTTATACGTGACGGTTTTAAATGACAGCATTTCAGAAGAGATGGCTAATACTGCGTCGAGATCCTGAATTGCATTCCTCATTCAGCATTGACTCCATTTGGAGTTGTCACATGTTTTCAAATGAGGATGACCAATGTTGACTTTTCTTGCTTGCCACTTTGCAGCAAATGTTTCTTCTTTTACTCCAGAATGTATAATGCAACAAATGCTAAGTTGATCAATTGCCGGCTGAAGCAGGAAGGCAAGATGCAAAGAAAAATCTGGACATACTTAAACCAGGGTAGTCTAAAAAGCTGTAAATCTTGTGAGCACTTTGGGGCATTTTGTTTGTTTGTTTTCCTTTGTAAATACTACTTACTAGCATTTAAAGTGTCTGGGTTTACATGTCTGGTTATAGTGCAATATATTTTGTATGCAAGCAGTTTCAAATAAACAAAAATTGATCTCGTAACTCTCGCCTCATCTTTTGAATTGTACAACTTTTATTTATTTTTTTTCCTGCCGTGTTTTATTATGATCCTGCAAGAGGAAATTAAATTTACACTGTGCTGTAGTTTTGTATTTTCAGTAACATGATCTTAGTGTTTTGGTCACATTCTGGTATATTTAATAGTTATATTTCTTAATTAATTATTTCATAAATAATATTTCAACCTCTTTTACCGTCATTCATTCCTATCCTACTTTCAATCCAAAATCGACATCCTCTACAGTTAACTCACCACCTCAATTCTTACCTGCATCCATCACTCCAACTACTCCACCTCTCTCCGAATTCAGACCTGTCTCCATAGCTGAACTCACCAACATCATCTCAACTATGAATTCCTCCACCTGCACACTGCATCCCATCCCATCTTCCTTCGTCAAGCACTGCTTTCCCACCATCTCTCACCTCGTCATGAGCATTGTCAACTCCTCCCTCAACTTTGCCTATGTCCCCTCCTGACTCAAACTGGCTGCTATATCCCCCATCATCAAAAAACCCGGACTCAACCGTGACATCATGAGCAACTTTCGACCCATCTCCAACCTCCCCAAAGTCATAGAACGTGTCGTTGGATCTCAAATTAAAACCTACCTAGACAATAACCAACTCTTCAAGCAATTTCAATCTGGATTCTGCACACAACACAGCACTGAAACCGCCCTCCTCAAAATCACCAATGACCTCCTCCTCTCCTCTGACTCCAGCCTACTCGCCATCCTCATCCTTCTTGACCTTACAGTTGCCTTCAACACCATCAACCTCTCCATCCTACTCTCTCGCCTGCAATCCCTAAACATCACTGACAAAGTCCTCACCCGACTCCGCTCATATCTCACAGACAGGAAACAATTCATACACATCAACAACTGCTCTTCCTACACTGCCCCACGGTCCCAAGGTGTCCCCCAGGGTTCTGTGCTTGGTCCTCTTCTCTTCATCCTCTACCTTTTACCCCTCGGCCAAATCATTCGTCATTATGATCTCCTGTTCCACTGCTACGCTGATGATGTCCAATTATTTTTATTATTATTATTATTATTTGAATGTAGTCATCATGCTGTTCAAGTATATAAAATATCCATCCCATCCATTGTCCCATTTTCTATAATGCAAATCCTCATTTGGGTCACGGGTGAGCTGGAGCCTATCCCGACTTTGGATGAGAGACACGGGACACCTTTTATTGGTCGCCACTCAATCACAGATTTAAATGACCCATCCGTTTTGTACAACTGCTTCTTGAGTTAAGGGTTACAGGGAGCTGGAGTCTCATCTGACAGGGCAAATGGCAGATTATACCATGGACTCTTATAATTGCCATTTCAAACATAAGGGTGGATACAGACACAGCCATTCACACTTGGATTCACTCTTCATTAGTGGGAACCCTATGCGTGTCTAGCCTATTTTTAAGGGTGTTTGAACCCTGAAAGACAACGATGGCGTCGTACATTTTTAGAGAGATATATACTGTATTTATTTTACTGTGTCTTTAACAAGCTAGAAAGTTGTACAAAAACATACTGCCCTGTTAAGATGTATATGCTCTCAAATAGTGTTTTGCATGTGCGTTTGTTATATAATGTTCTTTTGTGACGGGCTGGGTGTAGTGATGCCTCTGTCAATACAGTCTAGCAATATATTATCGGTTTGGTGATCCTGAAAATAGTTGAACGCGATATAACTGCTGCGTAGTGCCACTCTAGATTAGTTGTTGATTTGTTCTTCGGAAGCAGCAGCCGGTTGTGACTCTTAAAAACCTTTGGTGCTATAATACCATTTATGTTGTGTCACAGCATGACATTTAATATATGCAGATTACCTTCTGTGATGTTGTACTTTTTTTTTTTTTTTTTTTTAGATGATGCTGTTTAAATATGCTTCATCAATTGCGTGCAAAATCAAATCTCTTCTCTTATTCTCTGTCTCTCTCTCTCTTTCTTAAAACATTGAAGTAACAGCAGTTATGTAATCTACTGCTCTATTGAGCTTGAACCTTTGTGGTTGTATTACTTTTATGGAGTCAACTGCTTTGGGGCTGTAATGTAAACGTAAAGAAATGCCTCAGCTCATTATCTTAACTGAAATGCGTTAGAGTCTCACGACTGTTTTCATTCTCTCTCTTTCTCTGTCTCTCTCCCTTTTCAAGCTTTTCATGTGCGCCCTGCAAATGTCGGGAGAGTTCATTTTAAAAAAAACATTTTTGTGTAATCGCATTTCTTAATGAATGAAAAATAACCATGCAGTATTGATTAGGAACCACATGGGGGCGTTGTGGTTCTGTCTCCACGAGGAGAGAAACAGGAGTATCTCCCATGTGGAACTGTTTCACGTCGTAATGTTTATTATTGTTAGATTATGAACCTCTTCGTTGCTAAAAATAACAGTCAGTAAAATTATGAAAAACAGCAATGATTGTGTCGGGATGAGTTGAACTGGAGTCGAGGGTTTTAATCATTTCCTTGTCACAATGATATTTTATCTCAGAGTCTTTCGGGCTCTTTTTGGCATTTTATGCACCACTAATTCATCCTGCAATTTCTGCATTAAACTCGCATCATTTGCACCTCTCTCTCTCTCTCTCTCTCTCTCTCTCTCTCTCTCTCTCTCTCTCTCTCTCTATGAACTCTCTCTTTCAAGGTCTGACCTAGTTTTGGACAGCCTCCACACGCACACACACACACACACACACACACACGCACACACATACATACATACATACGACGTGTTTGATGCTTAAAGCACCAGACAAAGGTGTGATTTATTAATTTTTTTATGTGCGTGAAGTTTTTTATATCAATAAAATGGCTGGATTGTATCAAGGTCATGGCCATGCTTATGGGTATTCCCATGGCACTCTGAGGTGAAATGACACACTTCATCTGGAGGGAGGACAAAGGAGCTGAGATCTAAATCCTAAATTCCGCATTGTTAAATAAGATATATTCGTCTCTCCTCATCTCTGTTAGAGCCTGCTGTTTGTACTTGCAGAGTGTGATGCAGAGTAATGCTGGCATGTTGCCTTAGACCACACACGTGCGCGCGCGCACACGCACCCTTAAATAGACGCGCACACACTGAAGCACACGTGCACACACTAAAACCCACACTATTTTTGTATGCACACAGTGTATGTCACACACTGCTGCAGCACATCCTCGAATGTTATTTTGTGCAATATTTTTACGCGCGTGTGTGAGTGTGAGTGTGCGTGTGCGTGTGCGTGTGCGTGTGTGTGTGTGTGTGTGTGTGCGTTGATCTACTGTCATCTTATAAAACTGCAAGCTTTTGCGTGGGAGACAGTGGTGTCACACAAAGAAGCCACAGTTAGAACGCCCGCCACCACACATGCTGAGTGAGACGTTTGGACCATCTGCTCAATCATTTCTCAAGGCAAGGCATAAACAGTAAACCTGCTGCTGGGCACGTGTCGTGGCAAGTGCATTACGACTATGGAGTCAGAATGGTCATTCACTAACATTTAATGACACACTTGTTCCAGGCCTGCTCGGAAATGAAGGTGGGGGACAAGCTTGTATGGAAACCTGAGCAAAGTTGTCGAAGAAAGGTAATGACATTCAATATAGAAGAAAATTGGAAAAGGGCAAGACATAAATTCAACAGTAGCTCAGTGGGACAAGTGATTAGCAGATCAGACTACAATTCTGAGGTCCAGGGTTTGACTTCATTTTAAAGGTTTCATATTTCCTGCTTCAGAAAGGTTCTGTGCTAATTAATGAGGTAAAAGTTTAAATGACGATAAATCAGAGCAGACACTAGACATGAAATGTGTTCACATTATGACACTTCTAATGAGCTCATTCTGTTTATACAAACAAAATTGTATTTTTGAATGACATAGATTCACAAAGGAATATATATTATGTTGGGCTCCACAAGCTTGCTTTTCATTCACTTAAATCATACAACGAATAGAATAGAAGCTGTTTCATCATATGTCCTTTTTCTTCACATTGAGAGTCAGAGGAAAAAACAAATCGCAGCACTTTCCAGTGGTTGGTCTTTCACTTACTCATTGTTACCTTGCCCTCCATGAGCCTGCTTGACTTGGACCTCCAGGGAGGCACCATGAGCTCCACTTGCAGCAGGCACATGGGGAGCCTGCGACTCGAGCAACTCTTGGGGGCCCTCTGGTGGCCGAAGGTTCGTAAGTTTACAGTAGCTTGCTGCCTTGCTCTTACCACCATGATGCCCCTTCTGGCCAGAGATGGCAAAAGTCGTCACACAGGCCTGTCCTGCCTGTTTTCCATCTCTCCCGGCTGCAACACACCTGCTTCAGATGGTCAGCTCAACAGCCAGCTCTGAAGCAGCATTAGAACAACCCCCAATTATTTGAAGCAGGTGTGTTGCCCCCTGGGAGAGCTGGAAAACAGGCAGGACAGCGGCCCTTGAGGACCCAGTTTGGACACCCCTGCAGTAGGAGAAGTACCGTTATTTGTGTCTCTGGCTCCATAACTTAAGTATTATTTTGTATTAAAAACGGCAGACGAAATGTCTTAAGTACAAGAGTAAAAATCAGTTTCCCATAGCTTTGCTAATGCTGTGAGAAATGCAGAAAATTACTTAAATTAGCTCTTGATGACTGACAAATGACTGTACACAGGCGGAGAATTTGTGAACACCGAAAACATGTGGTTTTAAGATGGCAGAAAACACAAAAGTATTTGCCACATACTCTTGAAGCCGACGGCAGAAAAAAATTTTAAAAAAAATATCTTAAGTACGTCCATGGATAGAGGATATCTCTCAATCGGTTGCATCATCATTATTAATGCTCCCGGTTTCACATTGCTCCATGTCTTTGCTGTCTCTATTTTTTCTGCTCTAAACCCCCCAACATCTCATTTACTCTCTAATCAATCAAAAATCTCAACATGGTTGACTTTGTCTCTTCCTGGCTAGCCCTTTTTTTTTGCATTAAGGAAGTTGACAAGGTATGTTGAACAAAGTAAGAAAATACATCTTTATTTGAATGTAGGGATGACATGTAAAAAGTTGTCAGAAAAATACATATTCCACTAAAGTACAGATACCTGAAAAAAATCTGCTGAAGAACCAGAACAAAATAGCAAATGTTACCTCCTGCCACTGCTTCTGGCATTACATTTTGGGAGGTGTGACCCTGAATTTTTTGACTCGTTTCGAGTTGATATATACCTGAACATTTCTGCTGCTCCAGAATAGAATTGCACCATCTTTTATGTTTATGTTTGTGTGTGTCCTGTTAACAATCCCAAACCTACATGGAAAAAAAAATACCAGTGGCTGTCCCCATCCAAATGCTCCCACATTTTGGCTGCATTATATGGTCCATTATTAAGATTTATAAAATATATCAGCCATGATAGAACGTTTCAACAAGCATTTAAAATAATTCAGAATGTGATCTGGACTTCTACAGAATCAAACAAATCGTAAGACTAAGAAAGTATCTTGGAGGGTGTATGTTCCGAGTGTGGAGGGGGAGACATGAGGGGTAATGGGCCTCAGTCAGATTTTTAAAATGCTCGCTATGGCCCTGCCACTGAGTTGAGCGAGATGAACAAAGAATCCTCTCATTTCAGCCTCTAAGCTTTTATACTTACTGTCACCGCTTTGAATCAGCAAGCTTAATTTACTCGATCTCACAGTGTGGTGACTACAAAAAAAAAATCACCTTTTATGTCTGTAAATGTGAGGCGACTCATCAGACGATAAGCGTAAATCTTCACAGTTTCTCAGAGTGCAGCCAGATGAAGGTAAAACAATTTAACTGTATTTTATTAAATCTGACACGCGCTTTTGTTCACCACAGACACGAATCTTCATAAAGAAAACGTTTTTCTTTTTTTTTTCCTCCCCTTTTTTTGTTTTTGCAGTTTGTGCCTGTCTTGTGTGCAGTCTTATTCAGCGGGCACGCGCGCGCGCCCCCCTCTCCCTCTTCTGCTTTGCTGTCAGCTTGCCTCGACCACGTAGCAGATTCCTGGCAGAGGCAGCCGCTTGTGTCTACTCTCCTTCTCACTCCCTCTCTCTCTGTCTGTGTCACGCACGCACACGCACAGTGCGTGTGTCACTTGCCCATGTAGAACCACGTAGCACAAGGTTTGGATTCTGAACAGCCTCACAAAGCCAGTCGGAGCCTGTCATGGATCTCTTTGAACTGGACTTTTTCCGAGACTGGGAGCTTGAACAACCATGGTGAGTTCATGTAGTCTCTTTTATTGTCTGCTCTTTTTTTTTCTTAATTAAACGTGGACACGAAAGTGCCCCAATGTAAGACTTGCAATGTGTTTTGTTTTTACGAGTGATGGAGATGAAGCCAAAAGTGGGTCCCGCTTAGCTTCTCTTCCTTTGTGTCACCGATGTTTGGCTGACACAAATGCATGCGTGCAACACCGGCTTTTGGAGTCCTATTGTGCAATGATGGAATGTTGGATTGCGAGACATATAGTGGTCAGCAGAGCCACATAGTAAGAACACAGTCACGTGCACGCAGTGTTAACAGGTAGCAGGAAGTTCCACAGTGTACGCTTGCTTGTGGCATCAAGCTGTTGCCAGAGTTGAAAGTGCGTCTGGGTGAACAAACGTGGAAACGAGTCAACTTGCAACGGAAGGATGAATGGGCATCATTTGATGTGTGAGCATGCTGCACCCTTGAGCTCCACCGAGTTGTACGGTGGGGTTGGAAACCATCCATTATGTTAAAAGAGAAGTAATTGCATCTGTGATACAAAGATTCCAGAAATAGCAGCATTTCAATATTTGCACTGTGAGGATGTACACTGTATTCACACTCACTTCGACACAACATAAATTCACAGGATGTGTGTATGTATGCATAGCTATTAAATAGCTATGAAATTGCATGATTTGATATGCAGGTGCACCAAATGTGACTGGTGTATGTGTTTCTTTGTAATACTTAGCCATTGTTCCAAGAGTGTTTGAGGAAAGAAAACATTTGATTTTATCAATAAACAAGCAATATGGATTTCCTACTTTTTTTTCAGAGATTTTGTTTGAGTTAATGAATAGATAATGTTGACATGCACAGTGGCTGACACCATCCTTTTTGTAGACTCTAGAACACGTGATTTAGTGTGGTCAAAACGTGTACAGGAGTCTGTTAGTAGTATAGTAGTAGCCTGTTCTAGTTAAATTATTGCTTGACACAAAAAAATAACAAAGAGCACTTTATCATAGCAAAACCAACTGTGATAGGCAGTGATTTAAGTGTATGCATACTCAACTGCAAGAAGTGAAATGAGTCCCCGCATAAAACAAAGCGGATCACTCCGCTGGATTTGTATGTTATCCGAATGCCTCTGAAAATGTGTTCATGAATATTTCCAAGTTGCGAAAGAAGAAACTGATTTTTTTTTGCAAGTTCAAACATTGGTGTGATGTTATTTGGATATAGTTGAAGGAGCGCCCTATTCAAGGGCTTGCACATCATTTTCACTTGTGGCAAATCACTTTTAGTTTCAGCTGTGTGCACAGGACCGGTGAAAGAAATGAGAAACAATTAACAATGGCATATAGAATGAGCCAAGTACTGGCGCGGCTGTCGATTTTGAGACCGCATTTCATTTCATGGTCATTTTGTGGGTTTGTCAAGACCTCAGTAGAAGGAGCATCATCGTATTTTGTATCACCACATCTCCAGGTCAACCTTGTGTTACAGCGGCGCCACAATAACTTGGCAACAGTGCTGCTGTTTTGGCTGTGTGTTCTTTTGCTGGAAAATCTAAGCGGGGTAAAATGACGCACGCATACTCACAGTGCTGTCCCTCAGCAGCCACCATGGAAGGCCCTGGAGCAAGGTACTTAACCCCCCACTGCTGGAGCGGAGCAGCTCAGGGCTGAACAACAAGCTCAGGGTGTCTACACGTTGCCCTCGCTCTGCCACCAGTCCATCACACAGCGGCTGACAGCTGCTCCTGATGGGAAACGGGGCTGGCACAGACAACGGCTTTATTCCTGGAAAGAGAATATGGAAATGTGCACAAATGAGCGGTCTGAATAATGAATCCTGCTCGGGTGTTAACGTGTGGGTTAAAGTGTGTCAGTCACAAGTGCGTGATTGCTTGTGCACTGTGTGACATGACAGCATGGACAGATCATAGTCATGAGTCACAGTTTGTACATGGTACTCCATTGAAATGTCCTCGCTGGAGCCTGAGAAGCTATAGGAGAGCAGAAAATGGTGTGTGTATATATATCATAATTAATACATAATAAAAGAGAAATTTGTAAGATCTCATACTACTACTACTAAAAAAAAAAAAAAAAAAAAAAATTATTCATAGCATGTAACTGCAGAATGATCTAAATATGAAATTTAGTAATGGTTTAAGGCCATCAGAAGCAGGTGCTGTATACAGTGTGTTTTAGCTTTTGTGATAATTGGTTCCAGTCAGTGAAGGCTGCATGCCGGAATGAGAGGTAGCAAAATGGGGTGTGGGTTTTAAAGCACAGCTAGTGAGGGAATCGCACGATTTAATGAGAGTCTGTATTGGATGTATACCACAAATTCTCCCTTTAGAGAGATAACTTGAATTGCACTCAGCAGAGCACAGATATCCATGAAGGGTGAACAATCCTATAACATGTTTGTGTGACTTGTTCGCTGTATCTCATATTGTGACAAGCGCAAGGGTTCCACTCTAGTCTTAAAGGTGGCTTCTACATATACTGTAGATGGGTGCTTTATCCACGTAAATATTATTTTTCAATACGGCCCCATCTGCTGAACATGGTTGCCTTAATGCCAAGTGGACCGAAACCTAGAAAGTTAGAAGTGGTAGTTTACACTGAAATAGAGCTACATTGCATTATACCAATACAAGGGTGTCATGACATACACGTTGAAACCGTTTCATGACCACGCTTGTCACTCAAATTATGTGTATCATTAATTAGCATTACCTGCTGAAATTAATGGAAATGTTATTAATATCCCCCCCACCCCCTAAAAACCTCCCACCACACTTCTCAAGTCATTGCTCACAGGTCAGTGCCAACAAAAAAAAAATCCAACCGACATCTGGTTGAGTCACCCTTGTAATTTGTTTACGTTTTTTTTTATAGTGAATGTAACGTGACTGATACTAGTCTGGTGGACTTCATGGGTGAGTGTTTAAACTGCATCTCACCTTTTTATATTAAAACCAGACAATTAAGTGCAACTCCCTTTCACAGGAGCATAACAAATACAAGAACATTACACGTCTGTTTGCATCAAAACATTCACTGCCTCAATCATTCGACATTGAAACACATTTGTCCCTAATCTGTTGCTTGCTGAATTATAAAAACAATCAGATAAACAATTTTATTAAAGTACAAATACAATTACGTTAAGAAGTGTTTTACGAACAAGTAGAAACAGCATGCACAATCACTTGACTTGGCTCCACCGTTTTGAATCATTGAAGACAATTTTCAGTCATGCGGCTACAGAGAGAAAATAATTGGATCATATTTGATGCTCGGCTGCTGTGTTAGGCAGCCTCCTGAGACGGGATGGTAAGAGTTAAAAAGCTAATAAACGCAGTGATAAGGATATGTACATGAACACATCAGAGCCATAGGCAGAGCATGGTTGATCAAAACCCAGCGCAACGAGAACGCTAGCAGTTCTTTGATTGACTGTGGTCACGATGGTTTTCTTACCTGAAGCGTTTGAACCCGTCATTATGAGAGCACCCTGATTTCATGTTTTCATCGATACAATGAGCTTATTGCCACTCTGTGAGGCTGAAGATGGGAGCATAGGTTCAATATACAATGAAAAAAAAAAAGCTTCTCCACATGATGTGTTCATTCTGCAGTTATTTTTCTTATTTTACTGAACACCCCCCCGCGAGGGTCGCGGAGGGTGCTGGAGCCTATCCCAGCTGTCTGCGGGCAGTAGGTGGGGTACGCCCTGAACTGGTTGCCAGCCAATCGCAGGGCACGCATTAGACAATTGTCTGTACTCACAATCACACCTTGGGACAATTTAGAGTGTTCAATCAGCCTGCTATGCATGTTTTTGGAACGTGGAGTACCCAAAGAAAACCCACGCAGGCACGTGGGAGAACATGCAAACTCCGCACTGGAAGTCCATAGCCAGAATCGAACCCTGCACCTCTCTGCACTGTGAGCTGGACTTGTTAACCAGTTGACCACCGTGCCGCCTAGGGGACAGTAATTGATAGACTGAATTGGATTGCTCCTTTTCTTTCTCTGTTGCCTACAAGGCATGAGTGACAGAGCATGACATTCCCACAGTAATTCACATCACCTGCTAATGTGGTATGCGCCAGGAAATAATGCATGCATGTAATCTACTGTAATTTACCTCGAATTGATTACAAACACACTCTTAACTGTTTACGCTCTTGACACATTCGAAATGTACGAAGTTAAAGAAACATTTCCCAGAGGTGCAGTTCCTTCATTAATGATGCTCAAACGATGGAACACAGAGAAATACAAATAATTCTCCGCAGACTGCGACAGCCGGGGCAGAATGGAAGGAGAAGCCGGCACAGTGAGCCGCATGATTAAGTGTTTCACAAAAACATGTTTGTGTACTTGTCTACGGTCTGAGAAACTAGCTACATATGGAGCCTTATCAACCAGGACAAAATGTTTTGACTGTGTCATATTTACAGGTGAGTCGATGAGTCTGGATTTTCACCACAATGTTGAACAAATATCAAGACTTGAAATAACTTTTTTTTTTTTGAAAGGAGATAATAAATTACTTCATTTTTGGAGCACCTTTCTAAATTTGAGGAGCATTTTTATGCAGGTTAATCCCAAGTACCTGAAGCAAGGGTTTTATTAAACTATGAAGAAATGACGGGTGAGTCAACTCTATTTTACTGACGACAGTTCTGTTAGTAACGAACGACCATTTTTTGTTATTGTTATTTTACCTCACCAAAACTTTTTATTTGTAAAAGTCACATTGTGCATAGCAGCAAACTATATTTAATTGCCCAGAAATAATTTCAGTGGGGCACTTTCAAACACAAGTGTACATTTTTTTAGTGTAATTAAACTCAGCCTTTCGTGTATGAAAACCTAAGGCATGAAACACATTGTAATAATTAAAAAAAAGCCTTTGCGCAACTTGAATTGAGCAGCTGGCATTTTGGCATGTGACATAATACACTTGGTTCATGCCTGTGAGTTTCTGAGCTTAG